AGGTAATGATCCTGTGTGAGTATGCACCTGGGGTGGAGGCACAGGAGGGCCATACCTAATTGTGTATGAGTGTGCACTTGGGGGGGAAGCACAGGTGGGCCATACCTGAGGTAATGATCCTGAGTGTGCACCTGAGGGGGAAGCACAGGAGGTTCGTACCTAATTGTGTGTGAGTGTGCACCTGTGGGGGGAGCACAGGCGGGCCATACCTAAGGTAATGATCGTGTGTGAGTGTGCACCTGGAGTGGGGGCACAGGTGGGCCGTACCTAGAATGATCCCTTTTTGGTACTTGGGTGTTCTTCTTCACATTGAACATGGAAATATGCAATATGTAACCAGAGCAGTTTGAAAAGAAAGGCATCCAAGGGCTCACCCCAAGGTGGGGCAGGGTCAGCTGAGCAGATTTCAGCTGACCACCAGATTTCATGTTCAGAGCAAGGTGCTCAGCCCGCAACTCCTGGGTGAAGGGTTGCTGCTATGTCATGCCTTTCTAAGAGGCAGACTGAAGCTCAGGCCGCTGGGTGGAAAGATGTTAAGTGTATTAAACTGCACAATTAAACAAACTAAAAACAAATGCCAGCTCTGCTACTGAGTTGTTATTTCACTTTGAAGAAAATTAACCCCTCTGACCTCAGTTTTTTCAGATGTAAACTGAACATAATGTGATTTCTTTTAGGATAGGATAACATATATACGAAAGCTATTTGTTACGTTACACGTTGTATCACATTAAAATACTTTCCACAGTAACTCCTGCAGTTAGTCTTCCCACAAAAGATTACCTGTGGCAATATGTAGGGAGGAAGAAACTAAAGCCAAGGAAATAAACTACAGGTACATACTAATATATTTGTTATGTATACAAATATGTATGTACTTACAATGCTTATCATTTGCCAACTATCTTTATATACATTAGCTTGTTGAAAGATTGCACAATTCATTGGTAGGTGTAATTCTGCCAATTTTATAGGAAAGTGAAGTTAAATAATTTATTTGAGATGATTCAAGTGACGTTCCCAGAAGCCCAGCTGACTCGCAAGCCAATCTCTTGCCTCCCACATCGCAGTTGTTCAGCACGCACCTGTACGGTGCATGTGTACTGCACACGTGACAACATAAGGGCAGTACAAAGAGACTCCTGTCCCCACTATCAGACCCAGGATTGCTTCCTTTCTGCTATATCAAAATAACATGGCTACATCTAACTCTAAAACTTAAACTGCGGCAGATACACAGTGAAATCACATTAAAGTTTACTGGTATATTTATGAGTTATTTACTATATGTAAATTACCATTAAAAAAATTTTTTTTACCATGAAAATTTAAAGAAAAAAACACTTTTTAAAAAGTTGTCTTTGTCAGAATAAGCTTAAAAGAAGATTGTGCACTTGATATATATTTCTTTTTTCTGTAATTTAGGACAGGGTCTTCTACAGTGTCTCACCACGTAGATCGGACTTATAGTGATTCTCGTTTTCAGTCTCCCAAGTGTTGGGATTACAGGTGTGTACTACGACGCCCAGTCTCAATCCCCATCTCAGCGTGCCCGCGGGCAGGGCTGGCACAGCACACCGGGGATGGAACTCCAGCTGCTGAGCTCTGCCTAAGCAGGAGCTTTAGTCTGCTGAGCTATCAGCCTGGCCCTGCATTTGATATTTCATGTAATAATTGCCTAACACTTATTACATATACCATAACTGTATCATTTTTTTTCTTTTTTGCTCCAAATGCCTTCAGGGCAGTTTTGGCTAGCTTGAGTTGTGGGGATTGAACCACAGCAACCTGAGCCTGACTGCTTTGTTGAAGCAGCCACTTAAAGAACTGAGCTAAGGGGCAGGACCCCCATAACTATATCATTTAAAAAAGAAACTACATTTGTACATTCTTAGAAGTTGATTTCTAATAAAAGTTCTATTATTCCATTCTATTGCTTTTGGTCCTACACTAAGATTACTTAAATATTTCTAAAATAATTTGTAATTTTTTGCCTTTTTATTGTTATTACTGTGGTGCTAGTGGATAAATCCAGGGCCTTTCATGTACTAAGCAGGGTATCTACTACTGAGCTACATCCCCAGCCCTTTTTATGGTGTTGGCTTCATACACACTAGGAATGTGTTGTCACAGAGTTACACTTCCAGCCCTAGTCAGTTACTTCTCACTGGGACACAGGGTCTGTCGCCTGTGTCTTAAATACAGACAGGCTGGCTCATGGTTTCCACGGGTTCTGTCCATGGTGGTTTGTCTCCAGTGCAGAAGTGGCATGGGGGAAGGGCACGGTGGATGACCACTGCTCACCCAGGGCAGCCAGCAAGCAGCGAGAGAAAAGGTATCCCCTCTGACCAGACCCCATCTCTGTACACATAAGACTGCTGGGGGTACATTATTTTAGATCTAAATTGTAACAAGCCCTAATTTTAAATTTTGAGATGGGGCTCAGTAATTACTAAGCCACTAGTTGTATGGGCTTGGGTCAAATTTGTGCTCTTCTTGCCTCAGCCTCCCAGAGCACTGGGATTCCACGTGTGTATAAGCCACATCTGGCCTCATATGATGCTTTTTAAAAGTATAATTACAGGATGAGGACATAGCTCAGTCAGAGAACACTTCCCTAGCATGTATGACACCTGTGTTCAATACTCAGTCGTACAAAGAATGTTATTAATGGTTTTTTAAAAATTTTATTTATGTGGGGGGGGCCTGCTCAGCCCACCAGGGGGTGGGGCTGGCTGGCATGTGGTGCTGGGGGACCGAACCGCGGTCCCTGTGCTTTGCTAAGCTTGTTCTAAGTAGGTGCCTTAGACCACTGAGCCATCTCACCAGCCCCTATTAATGGTTTTGAAGTAAAATAATTCTCATGAATACTTCTGTGATATATATATATATATATATATATGTAAATATATGTTGTATTTTAGGGAAGGGCCTACAGGGTGTTCAGGGTCTCACAACTAGATCGGACTCCTAGTGATCTGCCTGTTTATAGCCTCCCAACTGCTGGGATTACAGGCGTGCGCCACCACGACATCTCCATATTTGTCTCAGCGTGCCCCTGGGGGTGAGGCCAGCATGGCAGGCTCAGGGATGTAACCCCCGGCCCCTGCACCTGCTTGTAGGCACTTTAATCTGCTGAGCTATTTGGCTGGCCCTCTCTGTGATAATTTTTGAGAATTAGTACCATGCTGACTCTAAACTTCAGGATATATAAACGGTTCTAGGTAACTTTGCTTATTTAAAAAAACAAGAGCACCAGTGCTTGACTAGCATCTGAAGACAACACAAGCCAAGTGCAGCGTTTCATGTCTAAAGTCACGGGCATCATTTGTAACGACAGTTATTTATGCATATATATTTTTGAAATACAATGAAACTAATCACTTTTTATTCAATAAAATGGTTCTAAACTACTCCCTACTTGATTTAAAGGGATAATAATCTTTGAAAAGAAGGCACTTTCAGCCAAGCACAGTGGCTAGCAAAGCTTGAGTACTATCTGGACAACTTAGCAACATCCTGTCTTCAAATAAAAAAATAAAAAGGGCTAGGGACGATTGCTGGGCATGGTGCACATGCTTGTAATCTCAGCTCTCGGGAAGCTGAACAGGAGGGTCACAAGTTCAACCCCAGTTGGGGAAACTTAGCAATTCAGGAAGACCCTTTTTCAAAATAAGTAAGATCAGAGGATGTAGCCGAGCGTGAAGGCCCTGGGCTCAAGCTCATTTCACAAAAACACGGCACACAAACTGGCAGCATCAGCAGCAGTATGTAATGGTCCTCTCAGCACTCCTGCAGTTGGGCTGGTCGCCTTCCCAGCCTGCTCTAGACTGTCTGACTCTGAAGCGCTACTAAGCAGACGCGACTGCGCTCTGCTCGGTCTGGTCCTATGGACTTCAGTTTATCAAGATTTCTGACTGCTGACACCCATACTGATCACGCTCTCTTGGACTTCTGGGGTATGTGTTAGAGAATAAAAAAGCAGTAAGCGTTTGCCTCTAACTGGATATTTGGTCATATAAATAATTGTTCTTTGAAGATTTTAAATAATTCCTTCTCTAGCATGTACTAGCTGGCTGTGCTTCTCTTCAAGTCGAGGCTGTGTGGCACTCTTCCTGGAGCCCCTCGAGAGCCCGGCGGAGCTCGTGCCTGTCGATGCTTACTGCCTGACAAATGCCCAGAGATAGCCGCTTTTTTTCCTGCAAAATGTTAGAAATCTTGGTGGCCCAGTCTGTTACTCTTGAGGACAAACTTTCTCCTAGTACCCGTAAGACATAGCAGAGAATCAGAGTCCAAGGAAAGCAACAAGGAGGAGAAGGGCAGGCATAGGCGCTGAGGTTAGTTCTATTCAGTATCTCCTGCAGTGTGTCTTTTACAGCCCATCCTAGTGAGGAATTCCACAGGTTCTTGTGACAGACAAGGTACGACTCAGAGCAATGAGAGGCAGGAGAGTGTGTGTGTGGACTGCAGATCCGCTGAGGCCTAACTTCAGGAGTACCAAAGAGGTCTCCAAGCTCTATGAGATCTTCATATTATTAGAACAGAATGGTTGATGTAGGCTTGCGAGCACATCTTCAGAAATTCTGTTTCTAGTATCTCCAAATAATCTTTATGCATTCATGAAACTTTTTCATTAAAATCGAATTACAGAAATATTTTTGTTTTTAAAATCAGATCCTCTTGTCCATAATTATAAAAACATATCTGAAATTAAATAAGTAAAATAACTCATGCAATTTTAATGTAGCTATAGAATGGACATGGAATTAGGGTGCTGTGTATGAGTCAGCTAACAATTAAGAATTGAGGAGAGGCTAATTCTGTTGTTTCTCAATAAAGTAAAATTCTATATCTAACCTCCGAAATCCTGTGCCTTGTTTCTACGCCCTTACCTATTAAGGCAACACAGTATCTTTGTAGTTGAAAAATTCAAAAGGAATGAGTAAAAAAGTACATGTTGAAAGTTCATTAAGCTTTAAACCTCATTTGATCTTCAAACACACAGTAAAATCCCTAAGTTAACTATACTACAGGATTAACGTGGGAAGTAAAGATCACACCTAAATGCAAGTCCTTCTACCTTTTTAGAACAAAGGTTATCAGTTTTTACTATTAGCTAACAAATGCAAACATCCTGAGGGACCTCGTGCTCCTTTGATATTTAAACTGAGGTGGCTGATGGGGGAGGCTGAGGAGGAGACAGTTGCCAATAAAGGAGTAGGTGACAGTTCTGAAGAAGGGGCTAAGACATAAATGAAGAATGAAAGAACTGAGCGCTAAGAGTCAGGCAAATCTAGAAATCTTTCTGGCCACCGAGAGAGGGAGGAGGTACAAGATGGGCCAGGACAGCGCTATTTTTACATGCGCAGCTGCAAATAGGAGCACAGTGAGATGCCGGTAAGCACCAGGTTAACCAAAAACCTGCTCCACCAGCTGGAGAGTTCTCCATGGCGATCTCATGACATTACCTCACTAGGTCCTTGTAGAGAAGCTTTGCTGTTTCCAGATACGGACCAAGCACATCTTCATACTGACAAAGGGATCCACCAAGGCACAGATGTTTAAAAAGACAAAACAGGAACTCATCTCTGTCCGGTTTGCTGAACACTTCATATTTTTCTGAGTCTTCGTCTAATAAAACCTAAGATAATAGAACTCATCTTCATGTGATGTAATTCAAGATACTGATTTTAAAATTTACCACACATACTTAAAAATAATCTTAGTCCCATTTTTATTTTTGTGGCATTGGGATCAAACTTAGAGCCTGCTCACAAGGCAAGTATTTGGTCACTGAGCTCTATGCTGGCTACCCCTATCTCAGACTTCTGTGTGTGTGTGTGTGTGTGTGTGTGTGTGTGTGTGTGTGTGTGTTGCTCCAGGACCATACCCAAGGCTGGCCACTGCTCTATTTCATAACCCCAATCCCAGTCCCTACACCACTAAGAACCAGTTCTGAGACAACTGGAGGGCCATATGCAATCTACTACACTTATCCTGTCTCTGATTCATGATTAGTTACTACATCCAATGGAAATTTTATTTTATTTATTTATTTTTTGGGTGGAACCGGGCATTGAACTCAGGCCCTTGCACTTGCCAGGGAAGTGATTATTCCATTGAGCCATCTCCCCGGCCCCTCAATGGAAATTTTAAAACATGATAGGAGAGCCGGCCAGATAGCTCAGCAGATTAAAGCGCCTGCTTAGGCAGATGCAGCCGCCAGGGGTTTGATCCCCAGATGCTGTTCAGGCTCTGTCCCCAGGGTACCCTGAAAAGGGGATTGAGATTGGGCATGGTAGCACGTGCCTGTAATCCCAGCACCTGGGAGGCTAAAAACCAGGAGGATCACTATGAATCTAATCTGTGGAGTAAGACCCTGTAGACTCTACTAAACACATTAAAAAAAAATGATAGGGCTAATTTTTTTTCCTTCACTCCCCCTCCCCTAGTACTGGGTGATGAATCCAGGAAGCACTGAACTATATCCCAGCTCTGCTTTAAATTCTGAGATAGTCTCAATTGCCCAGGTTGGTTTTGGTGGCTGGCCCGGCATGCAGTACTAGATATAGTACCTGCCAGGCAGGCGCTTAGACCTCAGAGCTATCTCCCCTACTTTTTTTCATCCAGAAAGCAACCAAGTTTTGGCTGGGTGTGGTGGCATAACCCTGTAATCTCGCCACTTGTGAGGCTGAAGCAGGAAGGTGGCAGTAGGGAGACAGAAAGGAAGAGGAGAGAAAGAAGAGGACAGAGGAGGGGAGAGAGGGAAGGAGAGAACAGAGACACAACTGGTAGTGCCCAGAAGGAAAAGAAGGCTGCAGGCTCTTCACTGTATAAACTAGCTCTTCACTGTAATAACATTTATATTATTTCACGCTAGATATAAACACCCTTCATTTAACTAAAATCAAATTACATATAATCTAGTTAAAAATTCTGTACTTACTTTCCGTAGCTCATCAGAAATGGGAAATGGATCACAGAAAGAATCTAAACACTTAATGATATGTCCAGTATCTCGTACGATGTTTTCATCATATAACCGATTAAAAAACGACATTGAAAGCTGTGTGCAAGGAACACCTGTGGCCTCAACGTTTTTCACTTCAGTTCCTAAAATATTTATAAAGAGATATAAAAGTTAATTTAACATTCTCAATTACTTGTAAAATACATCACTATGGAGGTTCTAAGAAATAACGAAGTACGTCGCACGTTTTGCTAGAGTTATGTGCTGTCTGATGTTTCAGCCAGTGACAGCTAGGCGCACCACCCTTGTGCCGCAGGAGGGAAGGAGCTGAGCAGCCCCATTGCTAGAGTTACTGCAGCTGTTGCGACACTGCATACTGTGCAATGTACCATGAGTCTGTGCAAATGCTGGTGTAACAGCCCTGCCATACTGCCAGTCACATAAAAGGACAGCACAGACAATTATGTCTGGTACATAACAGCAGAGACTGTCGACTGCAGCAGCAGAGCAACGCCTAAATCAAAGGAATTTATTTCTTCAAGCTCTTCAGGCAGCGATTCTGACAGTGAAGTTGACAAAAAATAGAGGAAAAAGCAAGTCGCTCCAGAAAAGCCTGTAAAGAAGCAGAAGCCTGGTGAGTCTTCAAGGGCTCTGTCATCTTCTAAGCAGAGCAGCAGCACCAGAAATGGTAACATATTTCAGATTGGGAAAATGAGATATGTCAGTGTTTGGGATTTTAAAGGGAAAGTTCTAATTGATATTAGAGAATATTGGATGGACCCAAAAGGTAAAATGAAACCAGGAAGAAAAGGTATTTCTTTAAATCCAGAGCAGTGGAGCCAGCTGAAGGAGATTTCTGACATTGATGATGCAGTAAGAAAACTGTAGAATTGGGCTGGAGAGATGGCTCAGTGGTCTAAAGCACCTACTTGAAGCAAGCTTGGTCAAAGCACAGGGACCACGGTTTGATCCCCCAGCACCACATGCCAGTCAGCCCCGCCCCCTGGTGGGCTGAGCTGGCCACACACACAATAAATAAATGTAATAAACAAAGAAAACTGTAGAATCTAAGCCATAAAAACCTGTACTGTTGTAGTTGTTTTACTCTGTCTTTTTACATTGGCTTTTGTTTTCTAAATGTTGTTTTCCAAGCTGTTTATATTTGGACTACAGGACAATTTGTAAGATGAATACTTTTAATGTGCATTATTAAAAATGTTCTGAGTGAAGCTAATTGTCAACTTTATGAAGGAGGATCACTTTGTGCCCACCACCTAGTGTAAAATAAAATCAAGTAATTCTACTCATTTAACTGTTGTGACCTTTTTTGATCAAAGACTAGGTACTGTTTAAGGGCCAAAGTAACAATTTTATAGGCATACTAGTTTTAACTCAGCTTTTAAAGAGGATTTGTGTTGCACTGAGTTTTTAAACTTTTGATTTGTGAAATTTATACTTGATGTCTTCCTTTGAGCTGTGTAAATTTGACTTTTCCACCTCAACATTTAACTTTTCTTTTTATAACAATCTCGTTCAATTTTCATTTTACCCTGTATTTTTCTTAAATATATTCACTAATTTGGAAAGTTAATTGAAACTATCAAAATGTTATCTCAGTAAGGTATTTAAAATTAAATTATGTAAGAACTGCAGTCACTAACTCTACTGTATTAAATATTACTAGCAGGTGTAGTTAATGTCTTGTATGAAAACTCTGAGCAAGTGTATGTCATTCTGCAGTGTTTTGTGTAGCTACCTTGTTGCTTAGTCCCCACAAAATGAGGACTTCAATGTCTGAATAGCTTTCACTCAGTAAACATGCTTACCATGTGCTGATGTCTATAAAATCAGATATTGTTAAATTAGCCTAGAATTTAATAAACATTGTGAAAGCTCACTGGCCTAACATTTTATTTTATAACATTGAATAAGGGTTATATGTAGCCAGAAATATTGTTGAGCTTTACTCTCATAGTGGGTAATATGGCCAAGTTTTAGGGGTAAGAGCATATATTTCGTTCTTGTGGTCTTTAATTCAGTAGAGCTGGTTGTTTTACAGCTAATCTACTGGACAGTAGCTCTTTAGACCTGATGTTACTTAGTTTTAGTACACTTCAAATGGTTTTCATTTTTACCATAATGATGAAATTGGTTGGTTGAGGTACAGGCTACAGGGCTTTGCAGCCATAAATAGGGCATGGTGTGTGCCTTATGAAAAGAAACTAACAGTGAAGTTAAGGAGGTGTTACGTGAAGAGGAAAGTTTTCTTCACACTAAATGATATACATAAGTTATTTTGAGATTTTGATCACACTGTTGGGATATAATTAGAGGTAGAAGAGTAATAAATAATAAAAGAAAGAATATTAACTATGGAAGTGTTGCTGACATGTACTATCAGAATACTATGAAAGTCTGAAATTTTGTTTAAAAATGCTGATTAATATTTAGGTATATTTCCTGAAATTCTTTGTGGCTCACTTTTTATGAAAATTAGTACAGTGTAACTCTCCTAAGTTTTTTTCTTAAAGGTGTTCTTCCCACATAAACTGTAGTGTAAATATGCACATCATCATAAATATGTAATTCTGTAACTGTGGAATGCTTATGTTTTGCTTTGCACATCTTCCATGGAGATGCCAATGAATACAATACTCTTCCCGTGAATATTTCAAATGTTTAAGTAAAAATAAGAAATGTGCAAAAAAAAAAAAAAAAAAAAAGTTGATAGTAAGTTCTGTTTTGGGCCAGTCAGATAGCTCAGCGGACTAAGCACTGCTTAGGCAAGCGCAGGGACTGGGGTTTGATCCCTGGTACCACATGCTGCACTGGCCCTGCCCCTGGGCGCACTGAGCTGTTCACTGAGTCCAGGCGTGGTGGCGCACGCCTGTAATCTCAGCACTGGGGAAACTGAGACAGGAGGATCACTACCAGGTACAGTGAGACCCTATACATTAAAAAAAAAAGTTGTTTTATATATTTACTATCATTTGAGTATGCTCTTATTTATAAAAAAAGTTTACTGTAGTAATTTCAGCTGTATTAAACCAGCAGGACCTGCAAAAACACCTCATGTTTACATCTCCTGATGATAGCAAGAGGCTACACTGAGCAACTGGCCTCCAACTTCCAGATTCGCTAAGTATACTCTACGCTGCTCGTGTAAGAAAGTCACCTAGTGATGAAGTTCTCAGAATGCAGTCCATTGTTAGACAAGGCACAACTGTACTTGATCAACACTTTAGGGATTTTTATTAAATTACTTTGTAACTTTTTTTGAGACAGGGTCTTGCTATGCAGTTCAGGCTGGCCTTAAACTCACTTTGTAGCTCAGACTGGTATCAAACTTACAGTGATCCTCCTGTTTCAGCTTCCTGAATGCAGAAGCCACAGGCGTGCAACATCATACTCCATTTAAAAAAATGAAAGCAGCTCAGTGGCAGACTGCTTGCCTAGTATGTGTGAGGTCATAGGTTCAGCCCCTCAGGACAATAAAAACAGCCACCTCCCCTTTCTTTTATGACAGGGTCTATGTGGCCCATAAAATGTGGGAGTACACACATGCACCACAGGATGCCTGGCCCTCTTTAATGTATGTAACACACATATTGGCCTGCTTTTAGGGGATGGTGTTCTTTTACTCACAATCCTAAGGAGATGACAGACCTGGATGTTGGCCCTTGGTACAGCTTTCCCTGGATGCGTGTGATGATGGGTCTCTGACTTGAGAACCAGCTTGTGCTTAACAGTAAGCGGCTGACTGCACTTCCTATTCTGGCTGTTCAGCTACAGCCCTGTTCGGGCCTTTTGATCTAGGTTAGGATCCTAGACAGGGCCGGCATGGAGATAAGGGAGCCTGCAGCCAGGAACTGCGTAAGGGTCAGTAATTCCAAAAGCTATGCTGCTAGGAGAAGCTCGTTTCAGAGGCACAACCATCTTAGGATTAGCTCAAGTGAAAAGAAGACTAAAAAATAAGTGTGTCTCTACGTATCACTGAAAGGAAAGGAGCAGTACAGAGGCCGACAACCCAGGAGATTCGGTGGTGGCCACAGGATGAGAGACCAGCAGCAGGCAAAGCGGTTATTTTCGCAAGTGTACCCAGCTCTGATTAGGGAGAGTGGGGGCCTTTGGATGAGGACGCGTGGTAATGAAGTTCACGCCACTTAATCTGAAGCTTAAAAAAGCACGTGCTACACACTGGACTATACACCTCAGTTCACACAGTGAAGCTGCCTCCCCACTGTGATGGCCTTTGGAGATGAGGCCATGGGAACCCGCAGGGCTTCAACACAGAAAAACCTAAGTCAATAGCACTTTGCTCCTAATTCCCCAAAATTCACATTCATCTGAAAATTACATTCATTCTATTCCAACAAGCCCCAAAGTGTCAACTCATTTAAGCATCAGCTCTAAAGCCTGGCGTTCTTAGTGTCAGCTGTACATGGTCTAAACTGCATACGGGTAAGACAGTGGGGAGGTGGTGTCCTGAGGAGAACTGCTCCCCAGCGCAAGCCGGTACATGAGGCATGCTATGTGCTTCCAAGCTGCACAGGTGGGCCATGCGGGGACACGCACTCGTGGTCCAGGGGAGGAAGAGGAAGGAGGAATTAAGAGATGAGTGCCAAGCGAGTCCACACGTGAGCACGGCTCAAGCTAATCCCTTCATCTTTTCCACCCATGGGGTTGAGATCCTGCCTCTACCGGGTGGGGGAAGGACCCTTCAAGTCCAAGTGGCCCAACCCCTGTGGCTTCTCAGGGGCACGGTGGCCCACAGCCTCAGCCTTCTCTCTCCAAGGTGGCCTGTCACAGGGAGGTTGTAGCACTAATGACCTCTGAATTGGCCACCTCCAGAGTCTTCCCTTTTTTCTATTTTTATTTTTTTCCATAATTTTATTGAGAAACAAATAGCAATGAGACAGTTTCAAACCAAATTGGTAATAATTAACACATTGCATACATTCTTCCTAGTGGTTAACTGCTGTACATCTTCCCTCTTCTTACAGAATATTTCATGTTCAACGCTGAATAGCTCAGTGGTCCAGCCCTTAGGATCTAAGAAGCCCAGCAGTCTTCCTTCATTTCACCTACTTTTCCCTGGCCTTTGTACTGCAAACTGGCAGTGGCTGGGGCAGTACAATCCCATATCTAATTCCAGTTTCTCGGAAATGGCTTCTTATACCCATAAGTCACATCCTTGATGCCTTTATCAAATGTTTTTTCTTCGGTATCCTTACTGGGTATTATGGTTTGTGTATAGTTGTCCCCCCCAAAGCCTCCTGCAGTCTTGGGGCAGCTTCTGGAGTTTGGGACTGGGTTACTGTGGGCACAGATGCTGTACCTGCCCTGGGCAGGTAATCTGCATTACAATGTAAGGAAGGAAGGGAAGCTAGCTGCGTGGGCTGCTGCTACTCCTCCTTTTGCGCTCTTGCTGTTTGCCGCTGCTATGAAAGGTTGCCCTCTGCTCTGTGCTGCTCTGCCTTGAGGCCAGCTCAATATGCACTGAAACCTCCAGTAACTGTGAGCTAAATAAACCTTTCCTCCCTTCTGTTTGGGTGTCAGATATTTGTCCCAGCAACGAGAGAAGAGTAACTGAGACACTGGGCTAAATAGACTATCTCCAAAAAAGGTTCAGTTATGTTTTTGATTCCATCACTTCCAAGCTCTGCCTTCTACAGAACTCGGAATGCAGTTGAGGCAAATTCTCTGCCACGTTCTAACCAAGCCCGCTGTTCGTCCAGTCTCCAACACTGCACTTCAGAGCTGGCACTGGTGCCGCCCCCAGTCGCCACACGTGTTGAGCACGTCCCTCACAACTCTTGCAATCTTCACCACTTAGTTCGCAGGCCACTTCCGTATTTTTCCGTGTTATAAAAGCATCATATTTCTCAGCACCAAAATCAGTATCAATCTGTTCTGGAGGCTGGGAGTCCAAGATCAAGGTACCAGATGACTCATTTCCTAGCAACGGATCCCCTGTGTGACAACCAGGTGGCTGCCGTCTCCAGGTCTTCCCACAGCATCGCTGGTGTTTCTTCCTTTTATCATAAGGGCACTAATTTCATTACAAGGGCCCCACCTTGGTGACCTCATCTAAATGGAATCACTTCCTGAAGGCTCCACCTCCAAATAACCTCACAATGAGGCTTTAAATGCTAACACAAAAATGAATTTGGGGCGAGGGCACAATTCAGTCCACTAACATGTGCTATCCCGTTATGTAGGAATTCCGTTAAACTGGGTTTCACCAGCACGTAGAAGACACGTGTCTCACTCGCCTCCCTCCTCACTGAGATACAGCGCCTGACACCCTCTACGTGAAGCAGGACAGATTATTCTGGCTCCTGTTTCGGGTCATGGTCTTGCTGGCTCGGGGTGGAACTGGCATGGCAGAGGGGTGTGGTGGAGGACAGCCGCTCACATCATGGTGCTCAGGAAGCAGAGGAGGGCAGGCAGCAGCCCCTGCAGGTTACGGCCCGTCAGCTGCCTCTAACCAGATCCCACCTAACAGCAAGTCAGCCTTAAAGCCCCATAATCGTAATCTCCCACCAAAAGCCTGAGGGGACATTCTTGATATAACGCATACCAACACGCAATCCAGCACTCTGACCACACACAGAAAGTTACGAACAAGTTGCTTTCCTCTCCTAAATGCCAGCATATATAACACACTAGCCCCCCGCCAGCCTTATTAGATGTCTTAAGTTAGTGCTTGTTTGACAATCTCGCCAACGTGGAAATGACAGAGGCAACCCAAGGCAGCTGTCAAGGTCTTCAATTCCAGAGCCTGTATTTCAGTCTCCATGCTACCCTGCCAGCAGTGTTAAACTGTGCAAATTATGTGGCTTATGCTCCTAATCCTCATTTGTAAAGCACTGACCTCTCTCTCAGATTAAACAACGTATGTGGTGCCCTTAGTTGAGTACATACGCAGGAAGCCTCTCATATATGCTCCACAACAGGCGCAGTGTGTGGGTGAAGGAGGAGACGGCCCCTGGCCACGACGAAGCCGCGCCAACAGTCAGGAACCAGTGCAGCTCGCAGCGAAGGAGGCTCCATCGCTTTTCTCTCCCTTTTTCCCTTTCGGTACTGGGCATTGAACCCAGGGCCTTCACATAGAGCTACATGCTCAACCGTTTCAAAAAATCTATTTTGAGACAGGGTCTTGCTAACGTGCTAGGTTGCCTGGCCACTCCTGAACTCATGACCCTCCTGCCTCAGCCTTCCACAGTGTGGGGACAGGTGCGTGCCTCTGCCATCATTCTCCCGGGAGCGGCTCACTTCTGGAAGTTTGCCTCCTCTCTGGTTTTAAAAGCTGATTTTTTGGTGTATAAAGGTCCCCAGGGGAACTCTGGAGGAAAACTGACTGATAGATCAGGAGAAGAAAGAAGGAAAAGAGGTGAAGACAAGGGAACGGAAATGTCCTGGTGCAACTCCACTCTCGGGAAACGGAGCCTGTCCCGCTTTCCTCTACTTCTCACTGGTCCTGCCAGGCACATGTGCAATTTCAGAGTCTCTTTCTGCTACGCTTATTTAAAAACTACAGAAAAGGTCAGTGCTATTTTGCGAAGTATGTACCAATATGGGAAAAGACTGAATACTTTTTTCAGTGAGCCTTACTTTTTTCAAATAGAGTGGTGACTGAAATTACTGTAAGTATGCTTTATAAGTACTCTGGTACACGGTTCTGAGTATTCTCTTTTGAAAATTTGAGTTGGCAAATATATTTGTGCTCTGATACTCAGTTTAATTTTGTAAGGAGTCTGAAGATCATGCTCTACTGGCTTTTTGTGCTATAAATTTTACAGTAGTCTTTAGCCAAAAGCAATAAAAGCCGACCTGCTTAGTCTAACATCATGAACTATTTGTAATCTTGTTCTCAACTAATATTTTAAGAAAAGATATTTTTGTGTTACAGCTTGTAGAATCCCACAAAAACACAATGTGTTAACTTACCAAAAGACCACCCAACAAGAACATCTAATTTCACACCAACTTACATTTTCTTGAGCGTAAACACCTATCCCGGACCAGCTTCTCCTACATGAAATACTGCTTTTATTTGTTCTATTGTTGACACTTGAACCCTAATTAAATTTAAAATACTGTGCTCCTGTTTTTGTTTTCAAAATAGCTTTTACTAAATCTATTTTTTTTCACCTGAGAGTGAAGATATATAAATGAATGCTGTTAACTGCTATCAATACAACATTCTTCTGAAAATTTAGGACCCTCCATGATTTAATGTTATTGTTACGAATTCCACGGTGGCTGACTCGTCGGCAGAGATTCGCGTCCTCGAGGAAAGATGCCGCGTCGCCCAAGCACTCACGCAGCAGCGGCATGATCTCGACGTTCTCCCTCACCTACTGCTCTTCTCAAGCTCTAGCTTCTGCAGCAGAACCTGTAATGCTAAATTATTCTAATTCACACACCCTCTCTAACCTATCAACAAGTTCCTTGAGTATAGCTTTTCTCCTATCAAAATGTTCCTTGGATCTAGCAAAATACACGGAATGAGGAAAATACAAACCTTCTAGATTAATAAAAAGCGAGAGTTGGGTGTGAGCTGCACACCTGGATCCCAGCACACTGAGGCTGGGGCAGGAGGTCCCTGAGAGGTAAAGGCCAGCCTGGGCTACGAAGTGAGTTCAGGGCCAAAGACCACCCCAAAAAGCAACAACAAAAACAGCAGCCCCCAAAATAAAAAAACTCTTAGGGCAGCAGGGGCTGACCCCAGGGACTCCCATGTGCTGGCTGAATGCTCTAGCACTAGCGCAGTCCCATCTGTGTGTTCCCTGAGACAGGAGCTTGCTCTGCTGCCCAGGCTAGTCTCAGGCCTGCCTGCCTCTTGCCTCAGCCGTGCAAGTGGCGGGATTGCTAGCACCACTGCATGCGGCCACAACTAGTATTTTTAAAAGGAAAAGTTCTCAGGCAAAGTTTTTTACAATCTGAAAAGATGAAAGTTTGGGGTTGGGGAGATAGCTCAGGGGTCTAAGCACATGGCTGGCAAGCACAAAGACTCGGGCTGGACTCCTGGTACCACTTGCCATGCTGCTCTGCGGGTCACTGAGACCAGGCATAGTGGCGCACACCTGTAATCCCAGCCCTGGGGAGGCTGAGACAGGAGGATCACTGTGAGTCCAAGTTGCATAGTGAGACCCTGTACCAAATAAATAAAGAAAATATTAAAGATGAAAATTAATTTTCTTTACCTAATGTCATCCACTGTCCAGAAGAATCTGAAAGTAACTCCAAGTTTGCAATAACATTTGGGTCTTTGAAAAAAGCCTAAAATACAAATTGGAGGGGAGCATGTTAGACAAGTTATTATAAATAATAATAATCAACTTCTAAAGTAACTTTTAGTAAATAAGTTTAAATTTCAAAAGAGAGGATTGCGGAAGTAGCTCAGTGGTACAGTGCCTGCCTAACAAGCGTAACGTCGTGAGTTTAATTCCTTGTACCAAAAAAAATTTTAAGACAACTGTAAATTGGTAACATGTCTAGTAAGTGAAGCTTTATTACATTCAAGTTGGAATCTGAAGTGTGCACAGTAAGTAAGGTCTTTGGAACTTAATTTAATAAATAAAAATGATTTACAGTAAAATTAGATTATATGTTTGAAATCTTTCTTTCCATCTTTTTTTCTGAATTAATCACCATAATAACCATTTATACTCTAGGTCTAAATATAACTGTCAATTTAATTCTTGCCAACAGGATCAGAGCAGTGATAGATTTGACTTGCTAGAAATGAAAGTTCTCTATATAGCAAAGCCAATGTAGCAGTCAAGGAGGTGTAGTTCCAAGTACTAGCAGCTGACAGGCTGAAAAGGCAAATGGAAAGTTTACTGAAGGCATTTCAGGCATCTGAAACTTTTCAGGAGGTGGACAATGTCAGACTCAAGACTGAAGTGTGGGAATGAAACAAAGCCATATGGAGAACTCCCCTGGTGAGGAAATCGCCTCTTCTGCAGCCCCACCAAAACCCAGGGAGGTCATTAACACTTGCTTCTTCACCCAAGAACGAATTAGGCCAGACCCCACTTAAGATCCAGGCACTGAGGCTGCTATGGCCATCGACATTACCACCATCCCTTTCTACCCAACTCCACTGCTATGCTGAGACTGCCCAGCCAGAAAGCGGGGTGCTTCTGCCACCAGCTCTGCCAAGGAAATGGGTTCTGTGGGAGCTTTCTTTGTATCACTCACAAAGAAGGTCGGTCGGTCAGTCAGTCAGTCAGTCATGGGATCCAACCCAGGCCTTTGCATTGAGCTACATCTCCAGCCCTTTAAGTTTTTTATTTTTATTTTTCTGGATAAGGCTCTAAGTCATGAAATTGCCAAAACTTGGGATCTTCCTGCTTCAGTCTCCCAGAGTTCTGGGATTACAGATACACGCCTCCATGTCTACCCTTTTAGAAAACTTTCAAGGCAAGGTCTTGGTAAGCTTCCTCATTTGACCTTGAACTGCAATCTTCTTGCCTCAGTCTCCCAAGTAGCCAATGTTTCAGGCACATGTCCTCATGCCTAAGCTCAAAACCTGTCTCGAACTGACCAGTCTGGTTGGTACACCTATGTCCCAGACTTCTATTTTCTTGTTTGTTGCTGTGGACTAAATCTAAGGCCTTGTATATGCTAAGTACTTGCTCTGCCAGAGCCAAGCCTCCAGCCCAGCCAACGTCTTAGTTCTGAATACAAGGGAATACCTTGAGTTACTCTGTGTTCTATTGAGCTTTGCAGAAAAAATCCACAAAGCACCCCAAAATTTACAAATTACCCTCAAGTCACATGGGTGTTCACAAACTTCTGAGCAGCCAGAAAACACAATGCCAAAAAAACAAAACAAAACAAAACAAAAAAACCCACAATGCCCATGATGAGTAATAAGAACAATAGATTGATTTAAAAAACAGCCACAGGGGGCCGGGGAGGTAGCTCAGTAGAATAAGCACTTGCCTGGTAAGTGCAAGGGCCTGAGTTCAATCCGCAGTTCTGCCTAAATAAATACGTAAATAAAATAAAAAACAGCAACAAATATAAAGAGGGTGATATGACATGTCCAATGGCCAAAAAAAGCTCAATAAGAAAAACTGACAACTGACTTAAAGCTTGCTCAGATACTGCGAACAGACATGTAACACATCATCAATAAATGCAAAGGAAAAAAAAAAATAAGACAAGATGCTCAATTAAGAGCAGTGAAAGAAATATGACTCAGGTATAAATAAGCCACATACAGTACTCTATACCACCACAGTTCCTGGGAGGGCCAAGCAGGAGAACTGCGTGAGTTCAAGGCGAGCCGCAACTACAGCAAGTACTGCCTTCCGAAGAAGGAACGTGGAGCATTAGAAATCCAGGATTTGGGAGAGGAAGGGGATGCACTGCCAAGCGTCTGTCAGCATACCTCTACGCCCAGTTAACTCCTACTTAGCCTTGAGGTCCAAATTCAATGCTTTTTTTCTCCATTAAGCTCTTTTCTGAACACCATTAGATTAGGACTGCCTACCTGGCACACGGACAGCAGCTTGTACTCCTCTGTAACGTGGCATTTTACTGTCTTCTTTTTCAGTCTTTAAGTGCCATGAGGGCAGACAAAGTGTTTGCTGGACTTTGGAATTAGGAAGGCAAGAGTACTTCTAATTAAATGAAGGACACAGAAGGCAGTACAGAGGAGTGAAAGTAAGTAGTAGGATACACAGCCTTGATTCCTGCTTCAAGAATTGTAGGAAAAGAGTGACAACTTGAAGAGCATGGTGAAAGATAGCAAATATTTATTGTAACAATTTAAACAGTAAGGAATAATTTATAGAAAAAAATCATGTGAAGCATGGTGGCACAAGCCTGCAATGTCAGCACTCGTGGGGCTGAAGCAGCAGGACCTCTGGTTGGTGACCACCCGGGGTACACAGTGAGTCGTGGTCAGCCTCACTATGCCTACACCTATTTCACTACACCTGGCTACCACTCACCAGTTTCAATTGTGAATTTTAAATTGCAGAATGGTTTTGACAACTACCCAAGAAAGATTCCTGAAAATGTAGCACCTGGCTGTCCTGAGCGGAGTCCAATGTGCCACTGAAAAGACCACTTTACGAGGCAGAGAAAGTGGCAAGTGTGGTGGCTTTAAGGTGAGAACGGATAGGCTGTTCCACTCAAAGAAAGCAAAGGACACAGTAAAAGGAAAAATGATCAGACGAGGCCAGAGTGAAACTGAACCTTGAGGTGAAGTGAGGAAATTTTAATCTGTGTGTGTAGCTGAAGACTGAACTCCGTCTGACCTGTTAGGCGAGCTCTCTACCTCTGAGCTACAGCCTCAGCCGTTTTCTTAATTTTGAGCTAGGTCTTGCTAGATGGTCCAGCCTGGCCTCCAATGTGCAATCCCCGGGCCTCATCCTCCCCAGCACCTGGGATTACGGATGGGCACCATCACACTCAGCTAGAATCTTACTTTTAAGCTTATTCTTAGCTACATGTGGCGGTACACACCTGTAATCCCAGCACGTGGGAGACTGACGCAAGGAAACCAAAGGTTTGAGGGCAGCCTGGTCTACAGTGAGACCTTGTCTCATAAAACAAAAACAAGAATTTACACTGGCTGGAGGGCCGAAAACGAGCAGTTAGGAGGAGGTGACTGCAGGAGAAGTGACCAGGCAGAGCTGATGCGGCAGGCAGGGTGGTACCAACTACAGAGCATATATATGGACTCGACGATACTTAGAGAAGAAAGAGATTCCTCAGAGAAGGAAAAAAGGATGACTCCCGGGGTTACTGCATGACAAGCCGGGCAGCCTAAAGGCCACGTAACAAAAAGCAATGGAGGGGCTGGCATGTGAGATGAGAACTGCTGCGGCTGCACATGCTAAGCCACGGCACACACGTTCTGTCCTCGTGGTGTTTATGCTTTAATAAGGCATTTAATTACAGGTATATATATTAAGAAAACCAAAAGGAAAACTGGGGCTGCAGTTTGGTGGCACAGCACTTGCCTGGCATGCAAGGCCCTGGACTGGATCACAAGCACCACAATAAACACATATACACAGAAAATAAAACAGAAAGCACTATTTATGAGTTATCATTTCACTATTATTATTGTGCTTTTGGAGACCAGGTATAATTCAGGCTGGCCTTGAACTCACCACGCAACCAGGCTAGCCTCCAACTCACGATCACTCTGCCTCCTGAAATGATTACAGATTTCCTTTATATTATTCCTCAAAAAAAGAAGTTGCTTTATAACTTTTTTGAAGTTTGTCAAATTAGAACCCTAGATTTAGTAATTATTCCTGGTATTACTAATTCACAATCACTTTTTGGACATCTATATAAATGGAGGTAGATTAAGTGGCCCCAGAAAGTAGACATACCAATGAAATAGGTCTTTACTAAAGGCCCCTTGAATGAAGCAATGCATGTTTTGTCACTGGAATATAACTATACACCTAAAATGAATTTACACATAACTATTCCTTTTTGTAGGTGATATTTTGTTACCGAATTTGCAGCAAGACATTACAAGGGATTCTCTATATCTGAAGTTCAGGAAAGCTGATGTGCTTTAGAAAATATTAGGTGACTTACAAACTAACTTGGCAACCAAGACACTGATATCAAAATACACATGAAGACTTTATACTTACTTCACTGTGACAGGAAAAGAGAAATTAATCTAAGGAGATACTTAACTATATACCTATCTGGCAAACTGCTGGTTTCTAACTCAGTATTAACGCTCTCTTCCTTAATGAATTCTGATTTATGCAGGATGGCAACGTGCTCAGCTAAGTCTGTGCTCCTAGCTCCCTCGGATACGGTCACATGCCCAAGTTCTGGTCACGAGATGTAAGCCTAAGTGTTGTGCACACCTTAAAAAAAACTCTGCCAAGTTAAGACTTCTTGTTTATATGGAAAATTCCCCTTGTAATTACCTAGTATTGTGCTGAGGATTCTGGCACTACTACGGATCATAAAGCTTTCTCTTTAGACCAAATGTTAGACATTATATATGTAGAACACTGCTACTTGGATGTACCTCCAGGTGAAAATGCCTGAAGCCACACTTACTCTTCACAGTCTACTCATTTAGCAGCAACATCAACAGTCAAATACGCCAGAAACACAGGACTCAGCTTGAGGGTTCCTCTGTCCTTCACCCAAGCTCTGCCTCGTCTGTAAGCCTGTCTCCTACGTGCCTGCCTGGCTGGCTGTTCGGGTGTCAGCCCTAACTCAGCACGTCACCAGCACAGTCTAGGTCATGGATGGTGAACCTTTTAGAGCTTTCAATGACAGCAAATACTCACTGTACATGTGCCATCGGTTTGCCACCAATGGTCTAGATGAGGTTTCGGGTTTCTAATTCACCTTCCACACTTCTGCCAAGGTAATCTCAGCATTTTACTTGTTTTTATGAGGTCAGGGATCAACCCCAGCGTCTGGTGTCTGCTAGGCAAGTAGTCCACCACTAAATCACACTCCAGGTATATAAAATCTGTGTGTCTCCTCCTTTACTACAGCTTTAGTGGCAGAGAAGTGCTCCCAAGAGCTCATCTCAACTTTTTCCACCACTATCCTTCAATTCTGCCTCCTGACAAAATCATTATCTTTCCTATCCTAGGACAAGGAGCTTGATTTTAGATAGTTAAGATAGCTATACTACTAATTTCTCCTAGTTCATTGAAAAGGTTTGTGCTATATGGTTTGGACAATTAAATGCTGGTATCTTGTACTCTAACTAATTTAAAGATAATAGTGTGTAATGTACTAACGACTGCTACCCCGTTGTTTTGAAATTTTGTTGTATTATTTTTCTATTTATTTATTAGGTATTTGGTATGGTACAGGGTTTCACTACACAGCTTGGACTCACAGTGATCCTCCTGTTTTCAGCCTCCCCAGCACTGAAATTACAGGTGTGTGTCACCACATATTTTTCTCTTAAAAAAAAAAAAAAGAAAAGAAAAAAATATTGTCTTTTGTTAAACCCTTCTTGGACCACCTTGATCAAAAATGATTACTTTCAGTGATCAAAAAATATGATGACTACATAAATGGTTAGTATTCATTTTAAAAACTGATTGCTTAGTGTCACCAAAGCATCTTATACTTAGGGCGAGGCCAATGTCACTCTGAATGCATTTTTATTTCCCTCTTCAATTGGGTGTATACACTTAGAAACCAAAGAAACATTTGCTATGTATATGTTTCCTTCCTTTCATTTACTCCTTCACAAATAAACCTCTGGAACACGGCTTTTTGGTTGAAATAAAATTCTACATCCAAAATTCTGGTTTCAACAACAGTTTTTTTAGTTAGGAGTCCATGCAGTAGACCCAGCAGGGGAGATGGGTGTGGTGATGGCGACCCTGTAACCTGCACAGCTGAGGTGAGAGGGCTGCTACTCTGGTATGCTCCAGTAATTTAGATTTAGAGGGTCTCAACATAAGAAACACCAAAGGGCTTAGGACAAAGATTAGTGTGAAGGTCCTGGGTTCCAACACTGGCACTGGAAAAATAAACAACAAAACAAAAACAGCAGAGAATTTGGAATCAAAATTCTGTTGCTGGGCATCAATAAATTACTTAACTTTTTAAAGTTTCAGAAGATGGGGGTCAAACACCAAACTTACACCTATTAAATGCTAAGTGCTGTGGAAAGGCAGAGGGAGGCTAAAGAAGGTTAAATCACTTTCTAAAGTCACACGCCTTGCAAGTGCCAGAGGTGGAATTTGAACCTACATAGCTAATGAGAGGCCAAATGCAGGAAGAAGCCAGGTTTCAGAGGGCTGTAGGCTTATATAACTTCAACTACTCCAAGAAAAAAAAACACATTATTTTTGATATGATCATGTGAACATATTGCTGGGCTCTCTCAGCTTCTTTGCAAGTGAGTCAATGAGGGGGCCCTGGTGATTTACTAACTTCGAGCCAGAGATGCTGTGTACCTGTGTCCGAGGCTGAAAACAGGAGGGTCGCTGGTTCAACCTGGCTCAAACAAATTAAAGACTCATTAACATAGAAATAAATCACTTTCTGGGGCACATGCTTTATTTCCATATAAGTAAGTTGTGTAGGTAAAAACAATTGTCTTTTTTGGTATGAAAATGTGGGAGTGACACTGCTTCGTGGACACAAAAAAGATAAACATGAATGTTTAAAAGTGGAAAAGTAGTGCTGCCTGAAACTGTAGAAATCTGTTGTGCTTTATGGACGACTCCTGGAATCTGTTAAAAGAATTCTGTACTGACCACCCCAAAATAAAATCAACCCCTCGATACTCCCTTGTGTGGAAATATCCTCAACTTCCGAGTCCCTTGGCGGGGTGACCTTTTCCCTCTGTCTAGGACATCTGCTATACTGCCCACTATTTTTGTGTTGTAGAAATTTTAAAATGTCTTTTTTTTTTTTTTTTCTCAGAACCAGGGATTGAACTCAGGCCCTTGTGCTTGCCAGAGAAGCACTTATCCACTGAGCCATCTCCCCAGCCCTTGTTGTAGAAAGTTTAAAAAAAGGGGGGACAGGTGGAGAGATGGCTCAGTGGAGTAAGTGCTTGCCTGGCAAGCGCAAGGGCCTAAGTTCAATCCCTGGCTCTGCAACAAAAACAAAAGCAAAACCCCAAAAGCATGTTTCTAGCTTTAGATATTTTTTTAAACATTTCTATGGTTTTTAAACTGTATATACTTATAAACTAGATTTGGGACACAGTAAGTAGTCCCAACATTTACTGAATATAGGAATAATTCTCAAAACTTTTATACCACTCTAAAATTTAGTGAATTGCTGGGCGTTGTGGCCCACACCTGTAATCCCAGCACTGGGAAGGCTGAGGCAGGAGGATCATTGTCAGTTTGAGAACAGCTTGGGCTACAAAGTGAGCTCAAGGCAAGCCTGAGCTATACAGTGAAACTGTCTCAAAAAGAAAAAAAAAAAAAGAAAAAAAGAAAAAAAAGAAAAGAAAATTCAGTGAATTAAAATATGATCATCTTTTTTTTCAAAATAGATTGAGAGCCAATACTGGTATAAATGAAAATTATAAGGCTTTTTTTTTGTTCCTCGAATGCCTTCAGGGCACTTTTGGCCAGCTGGAGAGGTGTGAGGTTCGAACTCCAGCAACCTGAGGCTGACAGCTTTGTGGAAGCAGCCACTTAAAGGCCTGAGCTAGGGCCAGGCCCCCTAAATGAAAATTATAAAAAAAAACCCTATAAAAATCTAAATATGAGTATTTAAGAAATGCAACTGAGTATTATAACATTACAAACTATCTCAGGCAAAGTTTAGATACTTAATTTATTCTGTACTATGGGCTGAAAAGTGTCCTTTCAAAATTCATGTCCTTTCTGAAATCTCAGAATGGATGTTAGCCAGGCATGGTGGCACACATCCATAATCTCAGCACTGGGGAGGCTGAGGCAGGAGAATCGTTGGAGTTCGATGCCTGCCTGGGCTACAAAATGAGTTCAAAGCCAGCCTGAACTGCACAGGGAGATCCTGCCTCAAAACATAAAATTTTAAAAAACGAGAGTGATATTAGATGAAAACAGGGTAATTATAGAGGTAATCAGTTAACATAAGGTCATGGAGGGGCAGCTCCAAATTACTGGCTCCCTCAGGGGAGAAGAGAGACACAGGTCAGAGAGTCACCTAGGACCTAGGCAGAGGCAGATGCTGAAGTGATGCAGGTGTAACCAAACCATCCCAGCGATTACTGCCAATCACTAACTAGGAAGAGGCAAAGGTTCAGAAGGACAGCTCCCCTGCCAACCCTTTGATCTTCACTGTCTAGCTTCCAGAACTGGGAGGCAGACAACCTGACTTGGGGCTTCCTTTCCTGTACTCCATCCTACTGCCCTTCTAACTACAGGCAGTGATTGGATTTTTTTCCATGTACTCGTGATCTTGCCAAGGGCCGGTAAGACCCCAAGAGCAGGGCCTCTTACTTTGTTTTTTCTCCCATTTCCAGTGCCTAAGCACATCTGAAGTTTTTGGTGTTTGAGAATGAATACATTATGCCCACTACTATAGAAAGGTCCACACTTACAGAATATGAATGGCAAAAAATGAAGCTAACATCACAGATCCTAAAATTATCTCCAAATTGACGATGGAGAGAGGAGGGGACAAAAGGTTTGAAAATAATGACTTTATGGAGCCCACAAAATATTTTGGAGTGAGCTTTACTCCTTCCAAATTATCTCTAAAGATTTATGTATTCTAATCACTATGCCATTACTTATAACGTTATTAGGGAATTCTTTATCCAGAATTGCAATAGAGGCTGAAGCCCAGTTCTCAGGGTGGATTTGATTTTGAGAAATGACCAAAAAATAATCTAGCCCTAAGCCCTCCTAAATAAAGCCAATGACAACGCTGGGTAGTCATATTAAAATGAAAAATGCCTATTAAAAAACAACAACCGGAGAACTGGAGAGTTCTCCTTCAAGGGCAGATCGAAAAGTAGGAAAAGAAGTTAAATGAAAAACAAATTTATGGGCGCATCTAGCCCCCTGGAGGCTGAGACAGGAGTCTGAGGCCAGCCTGGGTTCCTTAAAGAGCTAAAGGCCAGACTGAACTATGTAGTGAGACTGTTTTTTTAAAAGCAAATAAGGCGGGCAGGGTGCGCCAGCCTGTAATCCCAGCAATGCTGAGCTGAGGCAGGAACTTTGCTCAGGAGTTCGAGACCAGCCTGGGCCTTAAGGTGAGTTGAAGGCCAGCCTGAACTGCGTGGCAAGACCTCGTCTCGAAAAAACAAAACAAAAACAAACAAGCAAAAACCCCAAAGCCTACCAAACAAAAAGCAAAAATAAACCCAGACAGGCAACTGTAAGTGTCCTTTAAAGCACACTACTCGCACGTTGCACTAGCTCCAACTCCAGGACCGACGTCCCCGAGGGCGTGCGTGCTCCCTCCCCGGACGCCGGCCAAGTCGCGGGACGCGCGCCCTCGGGGCCCGCCCCCATACCAACCAGCACGAACTCCTCCTTGCGATAGGCCCGAAAGGTCTGGTCAAACCCGAACGCCTGCGCCTTGATTCTGCCCAGCATGGACCTGCGGCGGGGAGGACACGGTCAGCGCGGGCCGGCGGCCGCGGCCTCCACGCCCGCCCGCTTCCCGCCGCCGCCCGCGCTGC